TTCATTGCAGTTGGAACTTCTCTCTCCCTCTCGTTCTGTGTTGGCTTCCAGGGCTGGGCTTACCCCCCTCCTGGGCTAAGACTGAAGGCTGGAGATTACTCAGGTCCTGAAGGGTCTTTCTTCCATAGGCTTGCAAGGGGACACTTGCTTACTATGGATCTTCTTCCACAGGGTTACAGGGGATAATGGTTTAAGAGTCCACCCCTGTTTCCCTATGGAGGTCCCTCCCCATGGGAGAACAGTCCTTGATAGACTTCTCGGCATGGGTCTGGCACGAATCCACACACACACGGATTCCAATATCTCACATGGGCCGTCTCGCTCCAGCATGAGATTTCTCAGAGTCACAAAAACTTTAACAGCAGTATAGATCCACACACGCACGGATCTCGGTATCTCACCTAAGTTGTCACTGCTCCAGCACAGGTTTCTTTCAGGGTCACAAATCTCCACCCGGACTCTGCTTTACTTCAGTCCTTTTCATGAAGCCTTGGTTCTCTTTGGTACATCCACAGACTTCTTTATCAGTTGCATGGGAGGTCTCCTTATTCTAACAAACTTTTACAGGTGGCAGGGATTTATTTTCAGTCTTTTCCCTGCTAAGGAGAGAGAGCAGAAAGGCAGGGGGGAAACAAGCCTCCCCCCTTTCACATTTTACTTTTCTTGCTGTAGTTTCAGCTGCCAGCTTCGACCTTGGAAGCTCCGTTATCTTTCGGCTGGAATTCTTCCACAGCGGTTTCTGTCCAAGCAGTCCGTCTTTTAAACTTTTTTTTCTCTTCACTCTCTTACAAAAGAGAAGGGAGGACTTCAGTGCTGCACCTGCTCCCCCCCCCAGCCCAAGCCGGGGGAGGAGGGAGTCTGGCCCTGTTCGGGCCCGGTACTCCTCTCCCCTACATGGCTGCTACTCTAATTCCAACTGCGCCAACAACCTTCTCTTCCGTTTTCTTGAAGATGTAATTAGCAAAGGCGTTTCTGGACTTTTGATTGGTCTTTTTGTCCGGAAATTACCTGGACAAAACCATCATCAGCCCCAGGGTTGGGCTGAGGGGCAAAACCACGACAATTCTGTAATGGTAAAGTTGTCTCAAGTCTCTTAAGTTAGTTAGACAGCTGGGAACAAGAAGGATTACGGAGAGTTGGGAGGACTTAGGAGAAGTTCTCAGTATATCTTGGGGCATCTGAAAAAATTAATAGAGGAAAATTTGAACCATTGAAAAACCACACAGAAACATAGTTGAGATCAGGATAGGGCTAGATCAAGTGCTGGGGAACTTGTCCTACTGTTCAGTACACCCTCTGAATGATGAACACAATAAACCCGTTCAATTGTTCTGCTCTATTGAATCCTAGGAGAATGATGTCTCAAGGAGTTAAATATTTTGCATATCTAATTCTTATTTTTTCAGTTCATTTCTATGCTCCTTCCAACAGAGAATGATCATGATGTGGAGTTTACAAAGAAATAACAGAGGACAGAGATTGAATCCAGTTTAGGGCAAGATTACAATTCTAACCTCAGGCCATCCACCTCAGAGAGAGGGAAAAAAGGCAAAATTTTAGTCTGGTTCTGATTCAGAGCAGTTCCAAGACAGAAGTGAAATAAAACATGCTGATATGTGCATGAACTTTGTATTTACTTGGCCAATATATTCGAATGTTACTTGTAAGACATCCAATTGTTGTTTGGTGTATGGTACTTGCTATGATAGATGTTAAATGATGTATGATGTATGTTAGATTTGATACCAATGGATTGAGGTTTAGCTCAAATCTTCTATAATGTATAAGATGGTTAGGAAAAATAATGAGGAAACATTAAGCACAAGATTGCATTTATTTACACATTCATGTGTTTGTGGTCAGGACCACTGGCACATAGAAACACTGGGAATAGCCCAGCAAAATAGATATAATTTATTAAAAAAAAGCATCTGAAATTGGGGTTGTATCATTCCAGAACAAAGAGCAGACATTTTCCCTCGGGATGCATTCTTCCAAGATCATATGCTGGGTTTTACGGAGTTGCCATTTCAACTTCTGTTCTGTGCTGCTGTTCCCTAGGATCCAAATTCAATTTTTTTCTACTGGATTAGGAAGAGATTGTTTGTTTCCAGTACCTGTGAGCCTTGAGTGGGAATAGCTCAAAGGCAAGATAATAGGTTTTGCAAAAACCAAAAAGCATCTTAATGACCAAGGAGCATCTGGCTACCAGGAGACAGCAGTTCTGCTAGCCTACAGTGTAGAAACCTGTTGTTGTTACAATACAACCTCCTCTATTCAACAGCCTATGCAAGAAGAAAAATAAATATGAAGATGCCACATAATTTCACAACAAAACAGCGTAATTCCTTCCTGGAGGGAATTTCAGAACAGCTAGAAGTTGGAAGGGACCACCAGAGATCATTTAGTCCAGCCTGCTCAAGGAAGGCCATCTGGAGCAGTCTGTCCCAGGTCATGGTTTGGTTTGATTAATTCCAAGGATGGAGACTCCGCAACTCCTCTGGTTAACCTGTTCCAGTGATCCACCAGCCTCACAGGGTGCTAATACTCAAGATACTTATACATGATAAATGAAGGCTTTTGCTCTGCTATGTGCATAATAGCAGATACAAAGTAATTAGTAGCTAACAGTGGTCCTCAGTAGTGTAGAAGAATCCTAGTCTGGATGTTTTTTTTCCCCAGCAAGAAAAGCATTACATTTAGATTTTGATACTGAATTCCTTTATGTGCTTTAAGCCATAATTTCAGAGCACATTGCTCCTGTATATGTGTAATTCTGCAATTCTGTAAAGTCTTTGACAATATCCTTCTCTTTAGATTGGTAAGAAGTGGATTTGATGAGTGGACTGTTAGATGGATAGGAAAGTGGTTGGACAGTCACATCCACAGGGGGGTGGTAAATGGCTCAGAGTCCCAATGGACATCAGTGACAAGTGGTGTCCCTCAGGGGTCCTTACTGGGACCAGCGTTACTTAATATCTTCATTAATTACATAGACAAAGGAATCAAGTGCCCCCTCAGCAAATTCGTAGATGACACCAAGCTGAATGGTGCTGTTGACACACCTGAAGGACTGAATGCCATCCAGAGGGACCTGGACAAGCTCAAGGTGTGGACATCTGGGAATCACTCTTGGTTTAACAAGACCAAGTGCAAGGTGCTGCACCTGGATTGGGGCAACCCCCAGTGTCAACTCAAGCTGGGGGACAAACAGACCAAGAACAGCCCAGCTGAGAAGGACCTGGGGGTGCTGGTGGGTGAGAGGCTGGACATGACCTGGCCATGTGCACTCACAGCCCAGAAAGCCAAACCTATCCTGGGCTGCATCCAAAGCAGAGTGGGCAACAAGTGAGGGAGGGGATTCTGCCCCTCTGCTCTGCTCTGCTGAGACCCCACCTGGAGCACTGCATCCAGCTCTGGGGTCCCCAGCAGAGGAAGGACATTGACCTGTTGGAGCAAGTTCAGAGGAGGCCACCAAACTGATTAGGAGGGAGGAGTATCTCTCCTATGATGACAGGCTGAGAGAACTGGGATTGCTCAGCCTGGAGAAGAAAAGGTTTTAGTGTGACCTAATTGTGGCCTTCCAGTACCCAAAGGGGACCTGCAAGAAAGGGGAAATTTTACAAGGGCATGTAGTGACAGGACAAGGAGCAGTGGCTTCAAATTGAAGGAAAGTAGGTTTAAATAAGATATTAGGAAAAAATCATTTACTGTTAGCACTGGAATAAGTTGCCAAGAGAAGTTGTGGATGCCCCTTCCCTGGAGGTGCTGAAGGTTAGGTTGGATGGAGTTCTGAGCAACCTGGTCTAGTGAAGGTATCCCTGCCAATGGCAGCAGGGTTGGAGATAGATGTTCTTTACAGTGCCTTCCAACACAAACCATTCTGTGATTCTATGATGATTCTTTGATAGTATGATATCCCCTTGAGGCTCTCCTTCAGTCGTGAGTTAGAGCTAAATTATCCATGACATGTACTGTTAAATGTCAGTTTGACAGAGCTCAAATTCACCTGGATTTGAAAGAAATGTCTAATTTTTTTGACCAAGTTTCAATTGCTTCCTTGAGAGAAGGGATAGAGGGAAAAACTGCAGATGAGAAAAATTGGAGAATTAGGTGGAAATTTGGGCAAGTCATTGTTACTTGTAAAATCTCTGTGTTCCGTAACCTCTGTGATACAGTAAGGGAAGCAGGGAGCTATCGACCTCCCCTGCTGTACCTCGGGGTTGTATCAACGCACTGGCAAAGAGCTGCATGTTGTTGAAACTGTCCCTTCTCACTGAGGTTTGTTTTGTGCTTATTCGCAGAGCCTGAAGCTGCAGGATGGGGAACAAGCAGGAGAGCACGGACGAGGGAAGGGCATTGACTGTGCTGCTCTCACCTGCATGGTCCAGCTGGCTCAGATCATCCTTGGTGTGGGCCTGGGGCTCTTGGTTAGTGTTGCTGGCAGCGCCGTCACTGTGATTTCGGCATCCACGGTGGCTCTGGTTGGCTGCTGCTTCGTTGCTTTCTGTGTTCGCTATGTGGAATAGGACTGTGAGAAGCGACTGGAAGAAATCTCCCCAGGGGAGTGTTTTTTTTCTGGGTCCATGGCACTGGTGCTGTTGCTGTGCTGACACTGCTGGCACATCCTCCTCTCTTACCTCCTTGGATCGGTTGCAATTCCAGAGCTTTATGAAACAGAGACTTGATAAAACTGGTTGCCTAATGCCTCAGATGTGTACACACACCCAGTGTATTCACATGCTGTGGCATGTGACAGCGTGTCTGCCCACGGTATTTCAATGCCCTACATGAGGAGTCATTACAAAACTACTCAATACCAATCTGTGGAAGTTAATAGATGAAGTATGTGATAAGCTGAAGCAATGTAAAAGGACAGAGCTGGGAAGAAAGTTATTATTTATCTTGTTTTTCAGGTATTTTAAGTTTGGGGCTGTTCCCTCTGGTAGTCCAGAGGGATACCTGCAAGAGGATCAAGCAGGTATCAAAGGCCAAGCAGCGTGCAGTTGTGTTATGATTAGCAGTACTGCTAAAGGGGATCAATTAATTATCAACCATGGTTAAAAGCAGGTTTGGGTGTGAAAAATGTTTGGCATATCAAAAAGATTGAAGGTAATTGTTTAAAAACATGATTGTAAAGTAATTATCTCATACTGAGTCCTGCTGCTTCAGTATAAATGAAGTGAAAGTACTAGCTAGGCTTGTCAGGAAAGTCTGCCTAAGTCTGCTCTGCAAATCCACATGTAGGCACCTAAAAAATGTGTCTGTGGGGAACAGCGGCCATTTCTTCCTTTTTTAAGGCCTCTCAATTTTGATACTGTAATTTAAAAAATAAACTTGGCCAAAGTAAGAATTTGATGAATGGTTGAAAGCCACTTAAATCTTGGCATTGGATATGACAAGTATTTACCTTAAAGTAGTATCTCTATTTCCTCTATTTTCTTCATGCATGTAGCTTTGAGTGAAATGGCATTTGCTCTTTACAGAATATTGTAAATAAATTCAGTTCTGCAAAGCACTGTCAGGAATTACTGTACAGTAAATATGTAAGCCCAGTTGTTTGTATTTAATTGCTTATGAAGCTTCATTCTTATTTTTATAATATTGCCAGAGTTTTGGAAATGCTGTATTTGTGAAAGTTATATACTGTATTTATGCTGTGCTTCCTCTGTTCTGAAAACTGTCATATCCACTCACTGTGTTGTATGTTAAGCCACAGGAAGAGATCTGCTGATGAATATTGTTAATGAACACTGGGAAACTACTGCCAAATATGGTGTTTATCATTGGTTGTGGTGGTTTTTTCTTCTTCTTCTTCTTTTTTTTTTTTTTTTTTTTTTTTTTTTTTTTTTTTTTTTTTTTTTTTTTTTTTTTTTTTTTTTTTTTTTTTTTTTTTTTTTTTTTTTTTTTTTTAATGTTGCACATTTATAATCAACACTGTTCAGTCAAATACAGTGTTGAGCTGATCAGGTCTTAGAAGCTCTGCAAGATATGAACTTATAACACTACAAATAAATGGTTAGTTTTGAGCATCAAGTGCCTCCAGAAATGCATCAACTTCATCATTTTTCTATGTTTTGAAGAGTAGAGTGAGTTATTTATTCTCAGGAAAACCGGTTTTCCCCTAGTTAAATTCTTATGAATTATAACAAGCCTATGGAAGCCTCACCTACATTTTCTTGTTGATGACTGTGTTCCCACTGTAGGCCCAAAAAGAGGGTCAGTGCATGGCAAACCTCACTAGAGCATCTTCATCCTGCCTTATGAAGAAACTGCATTTTACATTTTCATTTGTTTTGTGGCTCTTCATGTCGCACCCATGGAAGAAAAAAGACTGAGGAAGACTGAGTCCCTGGACTGTGCTTGAAACACTCTGTGGGTGCTGAGATGGCTGGAGCACAAGGGTCTCAATGAGGACGAACAGGAGAAAGCCAGAAAATGAAGGATTGTTGTCTTCTCAATTCACTTTATGCCATCATTAACTCACTAACTTCGATTAACCCAGTATCTCCTGGGAGGAAAAATATTTATGGGAAAAATGAGGCTTCTATGGAGCCATAAAAATAGAGGTGATCTGGTTTTATAGGACTGCACCACGTAAACTTGTGCTCCAGGAGCTGTGATCATAAAGCTCTGATTCTACTGTGAGGCTGGGAAAGAAATTTTGCAATGTTTACCAATGTCTTTGTCAATATTTTCTTTGAGTTTTGTTGCCATCTGAACATTAACATTAAAACGGTCAGTGTTTGCTCTGTTGCACAAAGAGAACGCTGGCATTGATTGAGGCCCACAAAGTGACTGTAGATCTGTAGCAATGTAATAAGAGTTGTGAACCTGCAAAGAGAAGAGAGAGGTGCCCATCATGTATATCAATGCTCTTATTTATAAATGTATTCGAAGAAAACAGTTTCAGGAATTCATATTGCCATCTTTCTTATGAACTTTCCCTTTAAAATCTAGTGCATGCTACAGAAGACAGAACGGATTAGAGTCAATTTTTCTTTGGAAGTCTCTTCATAAAAATGTCCTATATTGCTTCTAAGACTTCAAAATGATATCTCTCTTTATGAATATTTGTCAAAAATAGCAAGCAGACAAAAATATGTACAATTAGGAAAACAGTGTTCAAACCAAAAAGAATTATGTTGGTGCTCATTCTGAAGTTGAAAATGTACTTCAAGTGTTAATGAAAACAATACAAAATGTTAGTAATTCATAAAAGGGGATAAGTAAATATTTCTTTTAGCAATAGAAATGTCACTAATATGTGTTACTAATATAATGTGTTACTAATACATGAAAGGGGATAAAATAACTATTTATTTCATCAATAGAAATGCTAAAATGTTAAAATATTAAAAGTATTGAAGAATTGTACTGTGTGCTACTAATTAAAGAAATTCCACCTTTTCTGTGCTTTTACATTAGTTCTGGACTTGAGCTATCAGTATGATTATTTATTGTACTTGATATCAACTTCTGTTGCGATGATGTGAGTTTAAAGTTACAAGTACCCTGTGTCCGGTCTTCCCCATCTGGTTTTATTTCCATATACATAAAATCAAATCAATAAAGAACTTCTTTTTATCATCTTTATGCAAGTGATACATTTAGATGAAACACACAGAATCACAGAATGGGTCAGGTTGGAAGTAACCACAGTGGGTCGTCTCTCCCAACCTGACCATCCTGTCTGACCATCCCAGAGCACATGGCACAGGATTACATACAGATTTTTGAATATTTGTTTTGCCTATCTCCAGTGAAGAAAACTCCACAGCCTCTCAGCCATCTCTTTTTGAGGCAGAACAGGCCAGGCCCCCTCAGCTTTTCCTTATGAGAAATGCTCCTGTCCCTTAATTGTCCTTGTATGCTTTTGCTGGACCTGCTGAAAGATGAGATGTCTTGTGATATCCAACTCCTCCTCCCTCCCACTTTGACTAAAGTAGTCATGGCTGAGCAAAATGAGGCAGGAAACAAGCCTACCATCTTATCTCCATGGCATTTTCCTTTTTCTTTCTCCTATGAACATCTGCCTCTTATTCCCATTTAACAAGCAGTCACGCAAGCAAAACCTCCAGGAACTTTTGGTTCTTTTGTTTAGAGGAGTTGGAGTATTAGTAATGTGACAGTTGTTTGGGTTGGGTTTGGTTTGGTTTTGTTTGTTTCCCCCCACCCCCTGAAGTGTTCATTCTGTCTTTCACAGTGATCCCATTCTTTGACTAGCTTGAAAACAAACAACTCAGAAGGCCTGTGGCAGATAATTTTTGCTTCCAGATAAACTACACAAGTTGGGATGAATCATAAATGTCTTTGCTTTGGGAGAAATCACAGCTTTCACACTGGTGCCCATGAATCACTACCAGTCCCTGCAGCATGTCAAAAGATAGGAAGAATGGTGTAAGTGAATGTGGCAATGGTGACATTTGATATTTCTGAACTGTAGAGGGATTGTTTCATGGAGGAAAATGGTGGAAGCATCTGCTGTAAAATGTCTTTGAAGGATTTTGGGCATGACAAAGCTATAAAAAATGATCTATAAAACAAAATTTCCCCCTTTAAGTTTCCAGCATTCATTTCTCATTCTCTGGCTTCTCCTTCTTATTTATTCAAGAGGAAAATGTTTGGGGTCACTTGTCCAAGACTAAACTGTGAAAAGTGATTTGCAATTTTTATAGGCCCAGATGGGATGCCTCCATGTGCTGAGCGAGCTGGCAGACATTGTAGCCAGGCTGCTCATAATCATCTTTGAAAGGTCATGGAGATCAGGAGAGATAACTGATGACTGAGGACTTGGAGAAAGCAAATGTCACCCTGGTCTTCAAAAAGGGCAAGAAGGAGGACCCAGGGAACTACTGACCAGTCAGCTTCACCTCAATCCCTAGACAGATGATGCAGCACCTCATCCTGGAGGCCACCTCTACCCACATGGAAGACAAGTAAGTGATCAGGAGTAGTCAGCATGGACTCAGTAAAGGTAAATCATATTTGACCGACCTGATTGCCAACCTGATTGCCTTCTAGGATGAAACAACTACCTGGACAGATGAAGGGAGAGCAGTGGATATTGTTAACCTTGACTTGAGTAAGGCTTTGACACTGTTTCTCACAACATTCTCATAGGCAAACTCTAGTGTGGGTTGGATGAGTGGACAATGAGGTGGATTAACGTGGCTGAGTGCCAGATCCCAGAGGATTTGTAAGGGAACAGGGTCTATTTGGAGGACTGTCACTAGTGGTCTCCCCCAGAGTTCTATATAGGGCCCGGTACTGTTTAACTTGTTCATTAATGACTTGGATGAAGGGGCAGATGCCTCCTCAGCAAGTTTAGTGACGACACAAAGCTGAGAGGAGTGGCCAATACCCCAGGGGGCTGTGCAGCCCTTTGGTAGGATTTCAACAAGCTGGAGAGATGGGTGGAGAAGAGCCACCTGAAGCTGAACAAAGGCAAGTGCAGGGTCCTGCACCTGGGGAGGAATTACCCCTGCCACCAGTGCATGCTGGGGGCCAATCTGCTGGAAAGCAGCTCTGCAGAGGACCTGGGGGCACTGGTGGACAACAAACTGTCCATGAGCCAGCAATGTGTCCTTGTGGCCAAGAAGGCCAGTGGTATCTTGGGGTTCATTAAGAAGAGCATTGTCAACAGGTTGAGTGAGGTGATCCTTCTTCTCTGATCTTCCTCACCCCTGGCGAGGGCACATCTGGAGTGCTGTGTCCAGTTCTGGGCTCCTCAGTACAAGAGAGACACAGAGTACCTGGAGCAGGTCCAGTGGAGGGCTACAAAGCCAATCAAAGGACTGGAGCAGCTCTCTTGTGAGGAAAGGCTGCAGGAGCTGGGTATGTTCAGCCATGAGAAGAGACAACTGAGAGGGGACGTAATCAATGCCTGTAAATACCTGAAGGGAGGGTGCCAAGAGGACAGAGCCAGGCTCTGTTTGGTGGCGCTGAGCGATAGAACAAGAGACTATGGGCAGAAACTGATGCACAGAAAATTCCACCTGAATATGAGGAAGAACTTCTTTTCTGAGCCAGCGACTGAACACTGAAATAGGTTGCCCAGAGAGGGTGTGGAATCTCCCTCATTGGAGAACCATCAAGAACCATCTGGACACCATCCTGTGCAATCTGTTCTGGGATGACACTGCCTGAGCAAGAAGGTTGGACCAGATGACCCACTGTGGTCTCTTCCAACCTGGCCCGTTCTTTGATTGTGTGAATTCTGTTGCCTTCTACGGTGTATTCAGCTTCGTACATTGCTCCTTTAGATGGGCAATATGAGTTAAGCAGTTGCATTTCCTAAATTTTCTTACTGGAAATGAAAATTTTACCTCCT